ACACTAATAAATCATAAAAGTCAAGCATAAAACTTTTGTTATAAATATGCATTCTACAGACTTCAATGGGACTTATACTACATGAACCACTTCACCATGACGTCACCACGTAACGTCTATAATTAGAAAATATGCCTTAATGAAAAAGTGAAAAGTTCAACACTACCTCGGGGGGAAATTAATTTCAATTTGTAATAATAATTATGTAAAAACATCTCTGTACCATTAAAAGTGCTGCTAGAATCCTACTGTCCTATCACAGAAATAATTATTCAACACTTTCTGACGAAACCTTCCCAAAACTTTTACATTTTGTTCATAACATTGTAAAAAATGCATTACAGTACCGACCAGACCCAACCTGACACCAAAGCAGTCCCAGAAAGCAGTCCCTGGGACTGCTTTGGGACTGCTGTGGGACTGCTCTGGGACTGCTGTGGGACTGCTCTGAGACCGCTGTGGGACTGCTCTGGGACTGCTATGAAAAGCAGTCCCAGCAGTCCCAGCTGCCCCTGGGACTGCTTTCTGGGACTGCTTTGTTCACTCATGTGTGACAAAGGTTCTGAGTGACATGATAGCTCCGCCCCCTTGTGTATCTGGAATTTGCAGACTCCCTATTGTTTTGTTTACTTGCAGCAGAGAGGAGTTTTAACTGTTTATTACGCAAGGATTTCTTAAAATCTTTTAATAACTGGAGATTACATGTATTATAGTTAATTTATAGTTTTAGGAATTGTATATTTACACAAATGTAATATATAATATTTTTAAAAATAAAGTTGTTATATAAGGAAGTCAGGAGATTTTTATTTCTAAAGTATATAAAACTACTCATGAGAAAAAATATCTACATGTAGATTTCTTTTCTTATTAAATCTGAAATTAAACACCCAAACTTTTCATATGGCACTTTTTAAAAAATCGATCATTTCATTTAGATATAAGATATTTTAATTGAAAAGGCTAGACGTTTTACAAGCACCACGCTAAAAGGGTATAACATACAACCCTCAAATAAAAATCTAACAATTTATTTTATGGAATGAAATGAAATTATTCCACCATTCTTCCGTAACATGAGCAATGTGAACAATTATACTGGAATTTACAGATGAATTAGTTTTTAATTAATGAGTAAGTTATTAAAAGAGTAAATTTAAAAAAAATTAATAAACAGTTGAAAACCTGTAATACCTGGAATTGTGATTTATTTCTTTTTTTGTTTTGCTTTTGTTTACCCCGCCGATAATGTGTATGAATAAAATGATATAAACACCTGTGGTTTCAATCGCCTTTGGGCAGAAAATCAATCATGCATGTTATTTGGGTTCACGTATCATTGTTACACATCATTGAACATGCTGCTCAATAATCAATGACCCTAATTTCAATCTATCTAAAAAATGTAAAACATAAAAAAGATAAATGAAATGTTTATAAATTTCTTTCAAGATTAATTAATGTTGAACATAATCTTACGATTCTATACTGGTCACTAATACAATTTACAAATAGAAAAATAATTCTTAAATTAACTTGTCAGTAAAGAACAATCAATTCTGAAAAATATTTTTTACTTGGCTAAATTAGCATCGGATTTTTCAAAAGCCCTAATATATACTTTTTTAAAAATGCCTTTATAGTATCCTGATAGTATGGAAATCAGCCATGATGTATAATGAATAGATCTATTTAAAACTAATTCTGGTGAAAAATAATTAATTCAATTTTAACTTTCTGTATAGAAAATAAATATGGGAGCCAGTATCAATCACAAAAAACCCAAGATAATTGTGATTTAATATAAATGTTCAGTGTAATTCATTTATGTAGGTGTGTAAGCTTTATTCTATCAATAAATATCATTTCAAATCTATGAGGGTACTGCTTATACATGTAAATGACCTTCACATTGTAAGGATTCCTGGCATACTGCTCAGAAAAAAATTCAGCTGTCTTTTATAGTTCCATTGTTTATTGGAAATCTCATTTCTGAGTTAGCCCCGCCCATTAAATTGATAAACCCCGCCCACTGGGACTGCTGGGACTGCTTTCTGGGACTGCTGGGACTGCTTTCTGGGACCGCTGGGACCGCTCTGGGACTGCTGTGGGACTGCTCTGGGACCGCTGTGGGACTGCTCTGGGACCGCTGTGGGACTGCTTTAGCAGTCCCCGCAAGCAGTCACCGGGACAGCTCTGGGACTGCTTTGTGTCAGGTTGGGTCTGGTCGGTACTGTAATTCCCGTAAACCATACGATTCTAGCAGCACTTTTCAAAAACAAGAGAAAAAAGTTTAGATAGAAACAAAAATTAAGTTTCAAAGTGTGCGGGGTAGTGTTGAACTTTTGCATCTTATTTGTTACGAACGACAGAGGAAAGGCTGATCGGCAAGTAAACACCCTCCTTGCTTTAATTCTACGAAGAAATTGTTGAAATATATCACCATACCTTATTCATAATCTTTATTCCCACATGAAGCACACATGGTATTCATTCTAAATGCTTTTAAACTCCGATTTTTTGTTTGTTTATATGAATTTTCGTTACGTTTCACTTTCACTCTGCTACTGCATGATCAACAGTTATGACGTCACGGGTTTACAGAGACCCAGACACGACAAAATTCTGTTTGTATAATGCCTCTGCATATTTTGATTTATTTTTACGACCTCAAATCAATCTTAGATATCAATTATAAAAAATTGTTATCTCTAAACTTCACGTCATATAGCTTACTATGACGTCATATTATATAAGCAAGTTGAATATTTGGTTGTAACCTTAACCTACCTGCGTATTGACCAAAAGACATCTTTGTGATTATACACTGCCAAATCATTGGATCTGCATCCCATTTCATGCATTTTGGCATCTTATAAGAAATGTAAATGCCCCCCCCCTTTATTAATGTTCTGTTCTCTTTCCTTCCTTATCCTGAGCTGCTATCCTCAGTCGAAGACAATATACCTTGGATCTCCATTCCTGCAAGTAATCAACATTATTTCATATTTTCCTTGCAAATTGTAACTAAAAATCCTTACCAATTTCATTTCAAACTATGACATTTCTAATATTGCAAGAAGTGAATAGCTAGGACACAGGGATTTATTCATATCTTGTATTTTCTGGCTTGACTGTCCGACAAACAGACAGACAGACTAAATGATGTCCAAGAAAATAGTTTGGAGTAGGATGAAATCTAAAAAATGTATATTTAATGATCTATGAATTTGGTTTAAACTACCCGAACACGGTATAGCGGTCATGACAACAAAGATAGAGTCCAGACTGTTTACTACGTAAACATAAAATAGCTGTTGAAAGGATATGTAAGAATATATTTTATGTAACTGTAAATGAAAAAAAGGAGAACCAATGACCGCACTTGATTGTACATGCTTCTTAAATATGCGCACAATGCATGACGATAAACATTTTATCTGGATGATATCCGTAGGCGATTTAAATGGATCACAACAATAAAAGCTGAAACATTTAAATGTATTTCTTAGGGTACTTGTATTGAATGTAAAAAAAAATATTGCCCTATAGGTCTTCAGATTTAAAAAAAAACTTTTTTCCCCTTCATATAGCATGAATTGATACAAAACTTATACTTCAGTTTTGACGTGGTTACATTTACCCTGTGGCTAATTAAAGTCTTTTTGTCTTGAAGAGAACATTTCCTCATCAATATACATGTATTCCTTTATCAAAATGATATAATAATAATAATACCGTTAAAAATTTTTTTCAGGATAACATTGATGGTTTTTTTTGCAGTTATTTAAAGGACATAATTCTCATGTCAAACCTTTATGTCATACATGCATCTCTTTTCTATAGGCAGTCTGCGTGTTTTTAAATTCATTGTGTTCTTCTGTGATCATTAACTACGTCAAATTTAATGCAAAGTCAAATACTTTGAATCCCATTCTCAGATAGATTTTAAATTTTCATGAGGTGTGTTATTTTGATATTTGGATTTCTAAACTTTTGATAAGTAAGTCATTTGATTCCATTTTTATTTGAAGAGTGAGTCATGATTAACAATTCATTTTTAAAAAATACATTTCTGTTTAATTTTGATTTTATATATATGACTATCTTACAATGATCGATATATGATAACTGTTCTTTATTAAGACTAAATTGAGAGATAAAGGGAGAAGTAAACGAATTGTTGATTGTATAAGCTATATAACCAAGTGCCTTTGATATCAACTTATTGACCTTAATTGGTATTCCGTCCTCCTGTATTGAATAAAGGATATGGAGATAACGAACAGTATTCAGTCTCAAACTCCATAATACATAATAGTAAAAGAAGAACAAACACGGACCCCCAAACATCAGAGGTGGGATCAGGTGTCATGGAGAAGTGAGCATCCCCTGATGACCGGTCACACCCACCGTGTGTTCCCTGTCAAGATCTGGGAAAATCCGTCGTCAATTCAGTGTATAAACAATTGACTAACAATTGGTATGAAAAACGCCAGTCAGCATTTGATTCAATTAAAAATTGTATTTGCAGACAAGGTCATTGTATCGACCTTAGAACTAACGAAATTATGACTTTAAAAAAGACGCTGATATTCTTGTTTCATCAACTTGCTTGTCAATAATTTACCTCGTTTTATAAATTGTTCATACGAAGAGCATGTTTTTGTGTATCGAATCAACTGAGATATAAATACTCCGTATGCAGGTGATGAAGGTATATTGCTGCATAAGTAAGGGAAGTTGACGATAGAAAAGTTAACGTAATCACGTTTATCTCATAGCTTGGTTGTTAGATTACCATTAGCGTTTTTTTCAAGTAAAATATCCAAATATGAAACAGAAGTCTCAGACTCTGTGGTATCTTTTATCTGAAGCTCACAAGGATATATCGTAACGACGTAGGAATGGAAATTAGCATTGTTAATTGACAATACGTCGTCGATATATGTTTATTTTATATGTAATTAATTCATTTTGGCAGATTTTGTAACTACGGAATGAGCCTCTACATCATGGACAATCTCAGATTCAGGACTCAGTGTAAAATCCGGCAGTGTTCTCAATGTCAGGAGATCACGGAATACTACTGTAACACGTGTAGACAAGACCTGTGTCTACAGTGTAAAGAGAGACATGTTATAGATCTCGATACTATATACCACGATGTCGTGATTTACCGTGAGAGATATGGCTATATCCCGAAAAAAGACCGCTGTGTGAGACATCCAAGGAGAGTTAATGACAAGTACTGTCACTCATGTGAAATTCCCGTCTGTGTCGAATGTAGAGAACACAACATTCACCATGTACTGGATATAAGAGTAGCATATATAAATAAAAGACAACAACATAAAGAAACCGTTCATAGCATCAGAGGTGGGACTCTCTATAAGAGTTGTTGTCTTCTGGCAGGAATTAAAGCTGATATAAAAATTTGTCACACGGAAATCTCCGACTGCCAGTCAAAGATGTTAGTAAAAGCCCAGAAACTAAGAAACCTCATAGACACTGTAATGTTTGAGGTTAAAATCCGACACAAAAGATTTATTCAAAGTTTAAAACAACACAGGAGAAAAATAAACAGCATAGAAACCTTTGAACAAAGATCTGACCATTTGACAAACAGACTAGAATTCCTTATATTCCTAACGAAGACTCGTGTACACAAGTTAAAGATCACATCTAGTCTCAAACAATACGCCCTGCTCTGCTTGAATGAAGATATATACACGGAGGATCTGACCGATTTACTGGGAGAAATCCAAATAATAGAGACAAGAAAAAGACAAGTGAGAAATGACACCTGTATTATACAGGTCTGTCACTGTGTCAGGTGAAATATATCACATTTCATGTGTGACATCAGACCACGTCTGGATCAATGATTGAAGAAATATGATCTTGATGAACTTAGAGGGTGAGATAATACATCATCTGACAGATGTTAGGAACGTGTGGAGACAACACACAGTGAATCTTACCGAGATCTTATTTACATAGACGTTTTAATATGTATTTTGCCTTGAATAAACGTGATGAATTTAAAGAACTCTTCTAGTATTCCTTTGTGTGGCGTCCAATCGGCCCGCCTGCGACACTCTAAAGTTAAGATATACTTTGCTGCCTTGTTACACCAACTTGCATTGTGACAATGTGACTTTAATTTGTGTCACTATGTGAGCTTAAAAAGTTCTCGGAGATATATATATCTAAATGGCGAGCTGAAGGCCACGGCAAGTATTCTCTTCTCATGTAAAGTATTTGCTTTATAGGGATATAAAACATGTACTGCATATCTAAATATGGCGAGCTGAAGGCCACGGCAATTTTTCTCATCTCATGTAATAATTTGCTTTATAAGGATATAAAACATGTGGGCTAAAACAGGAGCACAATGGTGCCAATTAAAATTCCAACAGTTTGTTAGAAGACCTGTTCTCCGAAGACTTCAAAAAGGAGCTCCAGCATCCTTTTATTACGTGTATCCACTTTATATTAAACGTCACAAGATCACAATGCGATTTTGTGTAACAATTCAGCAGAGAAATGATTTGTAAATTTTAAATTTATTTCACTAACTTAAGACAAAATTTACACAAATTAATTGTTAAGATTCTTAATTGATCTTTGCTTATGGATTGTGATAGTTCTTGTGCCGTCCATCGTACGAATGGATTCATGTATGAGCTGTCAAATAAGTGTTAAAAGCCATGATGTTGTAGCTATTCCACTCGACGCCATTTTATCTAAAAATAGTAACATATGGTAGGCACAATTCGTTCGAATTTGTTATGTGAAGTAAACATGATATGAAAGTGAATACGCTGGATCTTAGCAATGTCAATAGGAAGTAACTGATTAAGTAAGTAACAGGAAATTTTTATAATATATTATTTCTCTTAATGTACATAACAATCATTTCATAAAGATACTTTGAAGAAAATGAACTTTCAATGAATAACACAGCATATGCGAAATTTTCACATATAAATTTAAGGTCTCGTATGAAGTACGGTTAAGTACTTCTATCGATTTTTAACATATTTAATGATTTTTTAATGACTAAAATGATTCTCTAGAGAGTCCCACTTTTTCCCACAATTTTTTTTAAAAATGTGTCTTCATCGGGATCGGCGACATATTTGTCATAATGTGATTTATGTATAATGAAGCGTTAAAAGTTTATAAAAGGGAGTAAATTTAGTATATTTTGACTAATTATCATATATTTCCTATTTTTTCAATTGAATATTATTGAAAACGTGAAAATCAGTCATTTGGAGATCTCCTTTATAATGTTTATTTCAATCGCGCTCGAGATTCATTTCGAAGTTGTCTTTCTTGATTAGCTATCGTAGGTGCTAGAAGTTGTCATTGTTTGGGTATATTTTGGCATCAGTATGGACTTTATTCTGTATAATTTTATGAAAAGTATGCGTATACCTTTTACATTTCAGATTTATAACCTCAGAAACCAGAAATATAATGTTGAAATTTTTCTTTAAATTTTTAGGTGGAATAGCTAGATGTTGATCTATTTTTACCTGTTGAGTTTTTTGGAAGATTAAGGAAATCACCGTGTAAGTAATTGAATACATCTGTAAATTTATTCTTCTTTGTGTACTTCATTTGATGTTTAATGCATAGCTGCAGTCTTAGACTTAAACGATAGAAAATTATGATTTTGGGTAGTCGCGTGTTCACGATGTACGACATGCCATTATTGTCATTACTTTATCTTCGATAGAGAATTTTGTTATATGTTGCTTAATGTTGCTAAAGATTTACATTGTTTTCTTGAAATTGGATAAGAATAATATTAAGTAACTTGTAAAAATATAATTTAATGAAAGTATTAGATTTTGAAGCATATACATTGTTGTTTAAAGTAATTTTCTATGGAACACCATAACGGTCAAACTTGGTTAATTCGTACACTAGTACTATTATTATGTTGTATAGTGAACATTGTCGTATTAGTCTTTGGTTTTTCTTTGTAGTCCTTTACCACACGTAATCACATACATGCCATCTAACATATCTAAGTCATTAAAGAATTCATCTATGGACTTGGGGTATTCTATGTAGATGCTGCTATTGTGAAGGTTTAAATAACTGTCTGCTAATCACGAAACAATGTAGTTCATCAATGTTATTTCATGGTTTTTCCTCAAAGGAATCTGTTTCTGTTATTTCTCGTTCATGACAAGGAACATACGGCGGGTGTGACCAGTCGGCAGGGGATGTCCACTCTTCCATGACACCTGATCCCACCTCTATTGTTTTGGAGGTCTGTATTTGCTCTGCTCCTATTTTGTATTGTTGTATGGACCTTAGATCTTGCAATCGAATACTGTTTGTTATCTCCGTAATTATCTTTCATCAGTTCAAATAATCAGGGTTCTCCATGAGCTGTGTTGCTCCCGACACAGTAAAATTTTCTCCGACACAGTAACGATTCAAATTTAATGCATGCGACACAGTAAAAATTTTGCCGACACAGTAAGAGTTTTGATGATAAGAAATTCTAAACACACAGATTCTCTCTAACTGGAAGTTTAATCAAACAATTCTTCCATCTTTCAATTCAAAAAGTTATAACACTTAATTACTAGGGCTTCACCTTGAGAAATCAATCAATTATCTCCTAGACCTTCGCCGGACTTGACGCATGACGGAACAAAGAAAAATTACCGGAACAAAGACAAATAATTGTTTTCACAATTCAATGTACCGGTTAATTGGTAGTTGCAATAAAATACATTGTACATTGTATTTATATTTATAAAAAATATTCAAATATGTCACGGCTCTAGAATTATTTGAGCACTGTAAATCAAACATAACATCGTACCAAAGTCATTTAATTGATGTAAATTGCCGAAAATTTTGAAATTCTAGCATGTTCAAGGAACTCTTTAAAATATTTTACTGTTCTGAAGTTCCTTTTTTGTAATGCGGTAGCTCGATCAAGAACCTGATAAATAAACTCGGCAAATCTACTTTCAATGATGTTAAGTAGTTCGACTATCGGTCAGATTTCATCTGCTTTTCAGAACGTTTTTTTCCTTTTATCAGTATGTACGACCATACCATTTGTGTAACGAATTAGCGATTTTAAAATAAGTGTGTGCTTGTAAACTTTTGTAATTATAATGAGTTGTGATTAAGTTGAGAATTTGTTCGCGAAAATACCGCGAAATATTAGTGCTTCGCGTAAACTCTGCAACACAGTAAAATTTCAAATGATAGAGAACCCTGAATAATGTTAAAATAGTTGTATTTTGGTTCAGAGCACTTGTGTGTAGAATTTGGAGTGGTTCTTTACAAAGTGATTTTGTTGATAATTTATCGTTAAGAATGGTTGTACGAGGGCCGTTCAAAAATTACGCGGACTGTGGTATTATTTACTCTTACAGACGTCACACATTAATGAAATTTCACAGAAACATGTATCTTAAGGATTCCAATAAATTTTGGGCAAATTTTTTGTACATTAAAAAAATTCTACTAAAATATCGGTATGTTGAAATCGCTTATGGAGAGGTACGGAGCACGACAAAAAATTGGAAGTAAAAGCATGCGGAATTCAAAATTTAACTCATTAATTTTCTATAATTCGCGATATTTTTCGACAATTTTCTCAAATGTATCTTTAAATTGTTCTATTGTCATGCACTTAGATTTCTAACGTGATATTTGAAGTACTAACAGAAATATAGTAATTTTTCTCTGATGCGATTCCCGTTAAAACGACTGTGCAAATGACGTCTCCTGAATTGACGGCGCACCGCACTTTTGTAAATTTTGTGTAATGCTCGAGATATTGCCAGCAAAGATCCAAAATATGCATAATAAAATATGTAATAAACTAGGGTATTCGTGGCATTCGTCCACAAAAAGCAAATTGAAATTTGTAATCTGTAAAAAGGCTATACGGGAGGACGGGAAGAAGATTATCGACGAAAACTTTATCCGGAATGTAAAGAACGTGATTGAGAGTCACCAATAGATAAGATAAGATAAGATAAGATAAGATATTCTTTATTTCCTCCATTTAATTCTACGAGTGGTAATCCTACTTATACATATACTACTCTTTAATTTAATTCTACGAGTGGTAATCCTACTTATACATAAGGATATGGAAATAACGAACAGTATTCAATCTCAACGTCCATTAAACAAATATACAAAACAAGAGCAGAGCAAACACGGACCTCCGAAACATCAGAGGTGGGATCAGGTGCCATGGAGGAGTGAGCATCCCCTGCTGACCGGTCACACCCGCCGTGTGCTCATTGTCATAATCAGGAAATAACGGAAAAAATCCGTAGTCAATTCAGTGTATAAATAATGGACTAACAATTGGTATGAAAAACGTCAGTCAGCATTTCATTCAATGATAAATTGTATTTGCTGACAAGGTCATTGTATCGACCATAGAATTTACGAAATGATGACTTTAAACGAGACTGTTGATATTCTTGTTTCATCAACTTGCTTGTCAGTAATTTACCTCGTTTAAGAAATTGTTCATACGTAGAGCATGCTCTTGCGTATCGAATCAACTGAGATATAAATACTCCGTATGCAGGTGATGAAGGTATATTGCTGCATAAGTAAGGGAAGTTGACGATAGAAAAGTTAAAGTCATCACGTTTATCATATAGCTTGGTTGTTAGATTACCATTTGTGTCTTTTTCAAGTAAAATATCCAAGTATGAAGCAGATGTGTTGGACTCGGTGGTATCTTTTATCTCAAGCTCACCAGGATATATCGTGTCGACGTAGGAATGGAAGTTATCATTATTAATTGACAATACGTCGTCCATAT